TTCCTCAGCAAAAAAAAAAAAAAAAAGTAGAGAGGGAATATTATATAATGGGAAATATTAGACAAGTCAAATATATGTGTTAAAAATTTAAGAGTAACTTCTAAAAGAATGTATAACTTTCAAATATAGGGATCTCTTTTTTTTTTTTTTTTTTTTGAGGAAGATCAGCCCTGAGCTAACATCCATGCTAATCCTCCTCTTTTTGCTGAGGAAGACCAGCTCTGAGCTAACATCTATTGCCAATCCTCCTCCTTTTTTTTTTTTTTTTTCCCCAAAGCCCCAGTAGATAGTTGTATGTCATGGTTGCACATCCTTCTAGTTGCTGTAGGTGGGACGCACCTCAGCATGGCTGGAGAAGCGGTGCGTGGGTGCACGCCCGGGATCTGAACCCGGACCGTGCACACTTAACCGCTAAGCCACGGGGCGGCCCTAGGGATCTCTTAAAAGACTTGAAAAATCACTCATAATAGAGGAATGCAAATTAAAATTAATTACCTGGCAGGGGAGAAAACCGTGATCACAAAGGTGGTTTTCCCAGGGCGAGGCTCTTCATTTCACATCTGGGAAACTTGACTGCAGAATTTCTGTTAGCTGGGGACTGCGTTCACGCTCTCGCCTGATATCCTTTGGTTCACTACAGACATCGCTTCCATGGTACCTAACTGTACCCCTGCCTGCAGAGACCCAGGCCCAGAGCTCCCTTGCTTGGGAAATCGGGTCTGCACCCTCCTCTTCCTGGCTCTCCTATTTTGTGACGCAAGTGTGTGGATGGGCCCTGCTAAAAAAATTTAAAAATTAAAATAAAATAACGTGATAGTACTTTTCACCTATCAGATGAGCAAGGATCAAAGTTTGCTGACACTCCTGTCCAAAATAGTCCCCCTCATCACTTTCATCCCCTCATCCCGCACTGACTTCCTGATATTGTCTGCCTTTTCCCTTAGCCTCTAGTCTCTATGAGGGCAAGGACTTTGTATTGTTCACTGCTGCATCTCCATCTTCTAGAACATTACATCGCATGTGGTAGTTATCCCAGATATTTGTTGAACGAAGGAATGAATGATACCCTGTGTTATTAAAGTTGTATGTAGAGGCATTCTCATACATTGCTGATGGGAGTGTAAATTCATACAACCTCCTTGGAAAGCAATTTGGTAATAACTATCAAAATGGCAAATACAATATTAATGTATTTGTTTACTGTTTAATGGGTACAGAGTTTCTTTTTTTTTTTTTTTTTTTTTGGTGAGGGAGATCAGCCCTGAGCTAACATCCATGCTAACCCTCCTCTTTTTGCTGAGGAAGACCGGCTCTGAGCTAACATCTATTGCCAATCCTCCTCCTTTTTTTTCCTTCCCCAAATCCCCAGTAGAAAGTTGTATGTCATAGTTGCATGTCTTTCTAGTTGCTGTATGTGGGACGCAGCCTCAGCATGGCCGGAGAAGCGGTGCGTCGGTGCGCGCCCGGGATCCGAACCTGGGCCGCCAGTGGCGGAGCGCACGCACTCAACCGCTAAGCCATGGGGCCGGCCCTGGGTACAGAGTTTCTATCTGGGATGATGAAAAAGTTCTGGAACTGGTAGTGATGGCTATGCAGCATCGTGAATGTACTTAATGCCACTGAATTATATACTTAAAAATGGTTAAAATGGTAAATTTTATATTTTATCACAAAAAAAATCAGGTTTGAAACCTCCATAGTAATTGTAAAAACCAACTTATTTGTCTTCCAAAGTTATTTCTTGAACACCACTCATAGGATTTGTATCCTGTGAGTATAATATTTATTTGCAAAATGACTAATGGTTAGCAGCAGACAGGACCAGGAACACAAACCTATAGCATGGCAACAGCTACAAGCAAGACTACTTGATTATGTTGTGACATCTTTTCTTCTAGGTGCTCCTGTCCCTTTCCAGATATGTTGACATTAACTTTCAACCTTGCATGTCAGCATTTCCTGCTCTTGCTTTTGATGATATCCTGCAAACCAATAACTTCCCTATGTTGATTGTTAAGTTTTAATCCACAGGAGAATTATAATACTTTTTTGCATTTTCCCAGTTTCTTGACTGATGGTTCTTGGGATTTGGGAAAACATATACATTTCCCAAGAAATGCTGGGAAGGAATTCCCACATGTACACACCTGAAGGAACTGCAAGAGGCACCAGGAAGACTAGAAGAATATGGGGCATGAAAGTTAAGTTATAAGAGAATTTAAGTAGGAAAACTAAGGTAAATATGATAAAACTAAAGTAGTGATTTGTTAACTAAGTCATCAGTCATCTTAAAGGACAGTTTCAGTGGAGTAATACGTTGTATAGCAGCTGGCTTTGGAGTCAGACCTGGCTTGGAATCCTGGCCCTTAGATTTACCAGATGTGTGATCCTGGGCAAGTTATTTAATATCACTGAGCCTCAGTTTCCTCCTCTATTAAAGGGAAATAACACCTACTGTCAGGTGTGCAATTTGAGGTTACCCTACTTACAAATTAACAAGTTAGTCTGTTACTGTTTCATGAATGCTGGCAGAAGACAAGAGACTCCTGTATCAGAGACAAAAGACCTTATTCATGGCACAACAAGCAGCCTGAGCATCATGTATGCATTGGTTCCTTTTGCCTGCTAAGACCCACAGAGGCAACATGGAGGAGCCCAAATGGATGCTAGGCACACAGTGAGTTGCATTATAGGGGAAGAACAATGAACTTGGGGAACCTGCTGTTTTATAGTAAGTGGTAAGCAAGCTGCTCTTTGTCCCAGATAGAGACATTACCTCTCCCTCAAGCTTGCTTGCTGCAAACACAACCCTGAGAAATGGCTTGGATAATGAGTGGCCAAGGCCTTGCTTTTTTTGGTATACTCAAGGTTATGGTTTATTAAAGCAAAAGGATACAGGTTACAATCAGGAAAGGGAAAAGGTGCATGGGGGGAAGCCCAGGAGAAACCAGGCACAAACTTCCAGGTGCTCTCTCAGTAGAGTTGCACAGGGATGCGTTTAATTCTCCCAGCAGTGATTTGTAACAATGTGCAGATTGTTGCCAGCCAAAGAAGCTCACTTGAGCCTTGGTGTCCAGGGTTTTTATTGTGGGTCAGTCACATAGACATGGAGTGCCCACGTGACTGACATCAGCTACTCAGACCCCAGTCCCCCAGAGCAAAAACAGCCATTTACTATAAATCATAAACTTATCTGGTCAGATTGGTACAGTGTGGCTCAAGGCCTCCAGCATACAAAAACACTCTAATCAGACAAAATATTCTAAGGGCTCAGAATTTACTTCCCAAGAGTGAGCCAAGTGCCAGTCCTGAAGATGAGCCTTCTTTGGGATGTGCACAGTTTGAGCAACTTAGGCCTGCTGAGTTAACCCTTTTCTGCACGCACTGATCTTCATGAGTCCACTGTGCCTGGTGAACTACAGTGATGTTTTTTATTTCCAAGAATTACAATCAGTTTAGATCCAACATCTGGTTCTCCAGTGCCCAGCAAATGGCTGCAGGTACATTTGGAAAAGGCTTGGAGGATCTACTGCATATGGTTTTGCCAATGTAACATGGTCCTTCATCAAGGGGACCCAGCCTCCCCTCGTTCAGTGAGGCTCTAAGTCTGGAATTGGCTCAAATCTGAGAATTTGTTGAGGGCGGGGCCTTGCATTTTTGGCATACTTAGCAAGATATGTAGCAATGTGAGAGAGCCATGCAGGAGCGTCTCCTAACACCTACCTTATGGGGTTCTTGTAAAACTTAGATTGGAATGTATGTAAAGTGCTTAACACAGTACGTGGCACATCATAAATGCTCAACAAAGTGGCTATAGTACTGTTGCAGTAGGCCAGAGAATAAACAGAGTGGATACAGTGAATGTAGGCTACTGCTTCAAGAAATTTAGCTGAAAATAGGAGATAGGGACAGAGGCCAGAGAAAAAGTTTCTTTTTGTTTTTAAAGACAGATTTTAGCTGAGGTGTGTTGTGTTGTGGACGAGAAAGAGACTGAAACTATAAAACTTAAGAGGAGAGAAAGAATAATAGATAAAGCAAAGTCCCTGAGGGGGCAAAAGTAGATGAAATCCAGGCACAGTTATATTGGTGAGCACTGCAATATGGGGGATTTCCCCTGAGGTGTGATGGAAGCACGTTAAGTATGAGTGGTCACACTGGTAAATCTGGAGTGGAACGTTGGAGTTCCTATTTGACACCTCATGTCTTCTTAGTGCAGAAGGTATTTACTGGTTTGGGGTATATGGAAGACATAAGTAACATTGAAGGTTCAGCTGAGGTTGGAGATCAGGAAAGGTATCATGGCTGGCCACTCTCAGCAGCATTGCCATTTTTTTCCTTCATAGCTCATATATAGGCCTGAAGGCAGATGGAGATTAACCCATATTGGGGCTATGTATTAGTTCTTTTCGTTGCGATTAACAGAAACTCAATTTAAACTACCTAAAGCAGAAGGGGGAATTTACTGGAAGGATACTGGGATCACCCATTGAATATAGGGACAGGATCACAGCTAGTCATCCAATGGACCCAGGGACTGAAGTGCCTTAGGGAACCTAGGAAGCTGTTTCTCATCTCTGCCCTCCATAGACCACATACTGGAACTTCGCCACCAGTGGCTCCCAAGTTTTGAGTTATAATTCAGGCCCTAAGAAAGTTATAAAATTCCTAGGTAAGGAAATAGTTGGGTCAGCGTGGTGATAAAAGTAGGGCCAGTTCTACAACAGGGTTAGGCAGACATCTAACAGGTCTCTGCTAGAGTAGGGCAGGTCTCCATCAGAACTGTAAAAATTTCTACTCAGTCAAGGAACTAGATTTACATTTTATAAACAGTAATTCCACAAGGAACATAATTCATTCATCAGACATTTTAATGAGACCCAATCTGGTATGACCCCTGCCTTGGGGTAGCTCATCATCCAAGGAGAAACAGACAGAATACAACTTGAAATACCAGAACAGAGGTCATGACAAACACTGTGTTCTCCAGTCACTCTCCCACCCTGGAGCTGCGATCAGGAGAGCTGAAGGAAGAAGCGACGGGTAGGAGGATGATCCACTCCAGCTCTGGAATATGAGAAGTCACGTCTGGAAATTCAAATTTGGTGCAGCTACCCAAGGCAAAGTGGTAGGCTGTGTTCATTTAATTTGGTGAAGTTTTACTAGCACCTACTTGGGTGGGTGCCATGGAGGCGTATCAAAGATTAAGACACATTGCTGCCACTGCCCTCTGGAGCTTATGTGAGGGAGGCAGACATGAACACAACTTGATGACTGCACACTCTTCCTGCTTTGTATTTAATTACCTAACTTTCTACTCTCCTTGAATGGCCTCAACTTGTTTTATGAAAAACTGTTGACTGAGGACTCACGGAAGGCTCTGTGCTGATGTCTTCTTATTCTGATGAGAATCAGGGAGGAGTGAGACCCAGTTCTCCAGGATTTTCCAGCCACTGGCTGCCTGGAACTTACCCAAATCCACCAGGTGAAGTACAGCAAGCTGGTCCCATTCTTACTTCTTGCAGCTAGCTCCCCTGCTTTTCCTTAAGACCAGTCTTCTCCCAAAGCTCACTGTGCTTATGTCCCACACCCAACTTGAACCAACTTCCCAAACATAGGGTGCAGAAGACTTAGCTTCACAGCATGTGCTTTAAAAAAAACTTAGGTATTTAGGTGTTTGCAACCCAAGAAACCCCTGGTACAGTGCTGCTGCCCCCAAATCCAATCTAGAACTGTTAAAACAGTACAGACAAGAAGGTGTATAGTGTACACTGTGGTGCCGGCTTATTTTTGTATGACCCCTTAAAAGGGACATTGAAAAACCAGCACCTATTTGGAGAGATCATGTGTGGGAATTGAAACCCTGTCTTTAAGTAATGATTGACCAAATTAATGCTGTTGAACCTGAAAATGTGGGGGCAAAGTAGCTGTGATTAAGTTATCTGAAGAGCTGCCTCATAGATAAGTATTAAACATATTCTGGGCCAGGCTTACAGGGAAGGAGAATGTGGTTCCTAACAGCCTTCCAAAGATCAGAGCTATCCCACAATGAAATAACCTGCCTTGTGAGGTAGTGAGCTCCCTGTCAAAGGAGGTTTTAAAGCAATGGTAGAAGACCACGTGGCAGGAGTGTTGTAAAATGGGGCTAAACCAGGTTTGTTTAAACCTAGTATGGAGGAAAGCAGAGTAGAGGAAGATCCTGCCCCCCTATAAATGCGATTTTTCTGACTGCATGCAAGGGGATGGGTAATCCCTATATGCACAAACTAGAAAAGCAGCCCCTAAAATAGCTGGGGGGAACTTTTAGCCCTGATAGTCACAGAAATTCTTTTAGGATAGGAAGCTTGGAAAACTTTAACCAAATGATGTTGCCTCTCCTAATGGGACTGTCTGTTCTAGACACACATAGTAAGTAAGGCAGCCAGTGTGGTGGAATATACTCAAGTTCAGGTCTGTGTAGCACGAGACCTGGCTTTTAGTTCTGACTCTGCCCTGTATGGCCTGGGGCGGCTTCTTGCCTTCTCTGGGCCCCTCCATGAAATGAAATGCACTTATACAGTCCTTCCCATTCTACAGGGCATCGCCCTTCTGGCTAGTCCCTCCTACAGCAGATCTAGCACTACAGTTTTGAACCCTGGGGCTACACTTGTGGACGGCCAGAGACCACCTCTGGCGGAAGCAACGGCCACACTCGAGGCAGGGGAATGGCTTCTCCCCAGTGTGCAGGAGCTGGTGCTGAGCCAGGTGGCTCCACTGGGCAAAGCGCTTCGAACACAGGTCGCAGGCATAGGGCCGCTCGCCTGAGTGAACGCGCCGGTGACTGGCCAGTAGCGAGGGGTAGGCAAAGCGGCGGCCACAGTCATCACACGCGTGCAGCTTCTCCTCAGTGTGCGTGCTGCGATGTATGGCTAGGGAGCCGCTCCGCCGGAAGGCACGTCCACAGTCTGGGCAGGGGTAGGGCTTCTCGCCTGTGTGCAAGAGCTGGTGCTGGAGCAGTGTACTGCGCTGGGAGAAGCGGGCCTCACAGTGCTCGCAGGCATAGGGACGCTCCCCCGAATGTACTCGCCGGTGACTGACCAGGCGAGAGGATGAGGAGAAACGCCGCTCACAGTCTGGACACGGGTAGGGCTTCTCGCCAGTGTGGATGCGCTGATGGATGACTAGGGCGGTGCGCTGGCGGAAGCGGCGGTTGCATTCTAGGCAGGTGTAGGGCTTCTCTCCTGTGTGTGTGCGCTGGTGGATGGCTAGCAGTGAGGGGTAGGCAAAGCGACGCCCACAGCTAGGGCACTGGTGGGGTTTTTCGCCTGTATGCGTGGTCCGATGATTGGCCAAGGACCGGCTCCTACGGAAGCAGCGGCCACAGTCAGGACAATGGTAGGGCTTCTCACCTGTGTGGATAACCTGGTGCTGGGAGAGGTTCTTGCGCTGGGAAAAACGTTTGCCACACTGGTCACAAACATAGGGACACTCACCAGAGTGTGCCCGCCGGTGACTGACCAGCAGGGATGGGTAGGAAAAGCGACGCCCACAGTCTGGGCAAGGGTAAGGCTTTTTCAGATTCTGGGCACACTTGTGGCTCTCCAGGGCTGGGTGATCAGGGAAGGTACAACCGCAGTCAGGGCAGATGGGGCCCCCAGATGTCTGCCTGGGGATCAGCCGGGGTTTGCTGGGCCGCCGCCCTCGCTTCCCCTTTCTGGGTGCCTCCTTAGGTGGAAACACTTCCTTCTCTCCATTCTTCTTTCTGGTTCTGGTTTCTATAGGGACACAGGGAGAAATTAATTTAACAAATACGGGGCTCCTACTCTTGCCTATTACAGTATTACAGGTTACTAGACAAATAGACTCAGGCCGTCTTCAAGGGGTGTTAGTGCCACAGACGGCCAAGTGTGACATACAACTAGGGAAATATGGAGGGTATTAACAAGAACCCCTAACCCAGCTTGGAGGTGTCAGGGAAGGGAGAAGTCAGAGGAGATTAAGCTGACTTTAAAAATTAAGTTTTTGAAGAGATAAATGTAAGGCAGGAAGTGGAAACAAATGAGGTATGAGCTGGCAGTGACTAGATCATAAGGCCCTCTAAGCCATAAGGCCCTCAAATTTTGTTGTGATCACAATCATTCGGAGGGCTTAATGAAATAGATTGCTGGGCCCTACTCCCCATTTTAGATTCAGCAGGTCTAGGGTGGGGCCCAAGAATTTGCATTTGTTTTGTTGTTGTTGTTGTTGAGGAAGATTCGCCCTGAGCTAACATATGTGCCAATCTTCCTCTATTTTGTATATGGGTCGCTGCCACAGCATGGCTGACAAGTGGTGTAGGTCCCCGCCTGCGATCCAAACCGACGAACCCCTGCCGCAAAGCAGAGTGCTCTGAACTCAACCACTACACCCCTGGGCTGGCCCCAAGAATTTGCATTTCTAACATGTTCTGAGTGATGCTGCTGCTGCTGGTCTGAGGACCACACTCAGAACTACTGCTATAAGGACTTTGAACTGTATTTTATCCAATGGTTCTCAAACTTAAACATACATCTGAATCAACTGGGACTCTTTGAAAAAATACAAGTTCCTAAACATCCATAAGAGTAAATCAATAATTCTGGGATGGGGTCCAGGAATCTGTATTTTTACCAAGTTCCCCAAGTCACTTAAATATAACTGACAGCCATTTGACGACCTGCCTTGGCAAAAACTGAAAGATTTTAAGCAAAGAAATATCATGGTCAGATCTGAATCTTAGAAAGACAGCCCTGGTGTGAGAGAATCTGGCACAGAAACTCCAGCCCAGCCAGTTCCATTTGCCTCTGTGAGTTAATCAGAGCCTTGCTTGATCCCGAGAAGAGTGCACAGATTCCTGCAATTATCAGGGTCATCCTGCCAGAAAGGCAGAAAGAGGCCCCTGCACCCCAAGGAGCAGTTCCCCATTAGATCCCTTTAACCAAAACACAGAAGACTCAGAAAAGTATAGAATCTCAGTCAGAGTGCAATTCAAAGGAGGATGGGGGCAGAAATCCTGGGAAGGAGGCAGGAGAGTAGCTTCTTTTCAAAGCTCACTGATGGATTCACACAATAGAGAACTGCAGGTAGTTAGTTTGCAAACTGACATGTGATTCTTTGTGTGGTGGACCGACCGCCACCATCAGAGACAAGACCCTGAAGTTGGGAAAATGAACACAGTAACTGGAGCACTACAGCATGGGTCCCCCTGGCCTCCAAAACTCTGGACTGAGTCATTAGAGGCTGCAGGCCCTCCATGGGCATTTTTCACTCACTTCTTTGGACTGTTACCCCTCTTGGGCACTCCTGCGGATCCAGAGCAGCTGGTTCCCAATCCTCGGTATTTCGTTCCAGCCAGGAGATGAGGGCTGGTTTGGGACCTGCGCACCCTGGGGAAGGAGAACCAGTCAGAGGCTCTGCTCATAGATGACGCTGGGTAATATCTACCCCGTGGCATCTCCTGCCAAGCCCCCGTCCTCCTCCCCTGACACAACCTGGCCGCAGGCCTGGACCCTGGGCACTCTAGACTCTCGGCCCTTCCCCCGCCCCCAAGCTTCTTCATCCCTTCGGGCCCCGCAGAAGCGGATTGGGCCAGGTCTCACCAAGCGCGCCCAGGTGGCCGTAGGTCTCCCGCATCACGTCCCGGTACAGGGCCCTCTGCGCGGGCCGCAGACACCCCCACTCCTCCGGGGAGAAGTACACAGCCACGTCCGCGAACTTCACTGCCCTCGGCCTCCTTCCCCTTCTCCTGCCGGGTCCGGCTTCTCCTGGTCCCCGCGCGGAGAGCAGAGCCGAAGGCGGAGCCATTGGGCCCGACAAGCCAGCGCCACGGCCCTCCTCGTCCCGGCCTCGGTCCCCGGGCACTGGCGGACCCCGGGATTTGGGAGCCCCGCCGGACCGGGACTGAGCGTGCCTGGGGAGGTCCGGAGGGAAGCGGAGTCGGGCGCCTGCGGGGCTAACGGAAACCTTTCGCTGTTATTCAGGAAACTCCTGTCCGAACTTGGGTGAAAGGCACCGGAAGATGCCTTCGGGGAAAATGGCGGCGCTGCTGCTGCACCGCCTGTGCCTGGAACACAGGCAGCTTCCAGCTATCGATTTTATTGACCGGAGCGCCATGCCGGCTTCCTAACCTTTTTGCCCTCAAGTGTGATGGCGCTGCTATTGGGCTTCACGCCCTTTCCGCCCCCCCATTACACGCGCTCATTGGGCGGCGGCCGAAGATCGAGCGTTCTGATTGGGTGCTGGTGAAAGCGGCCTGTTTGAACGAAGCCAACGGAAGCGTAAGGGCAGGAAGCTGGACCCTCGGTGTCGGGTGACTGCCGTGAGTTCTGAGGCGGGAAGCGGCGGCCTGGCCTGGGGTTAGTAACGGGCCCCTGTTCTCTGGCAGGCGCTGCCTGGCTGAGGGAGGGAAGGATTTGAGCGACGGAGCCACTCTGGCCAACCCGGGGCTGAGATTACCCTGGTTCCTTTCCGTGGCTTTCTCAGAGGAGCCTTCGCTTTGGATAGTGGGTAACTTATGGGAAGGGAATTAACGTTAGCGTTCCCGGTGCGCAGCCACCATGCCCAACATGTGACGCATTTCATCTTATTTATTCTTTGCTATCATTGTATGAGGTGATGGTTACCATCCCGGTTGTATCGATGAGGCAAATCTCAGAGGGATACTGCTAGTAAGGAGAAGCAACAAAGATTTAAACCCGGGGCTGACAGGGCCTTGATTCATACCACTGAACTCAGCACCCTTCCTTCGCACCATCCTGATTTACTTGCTAACTCAAGAATTCACCTGAGCTCCTGGTGTCTTCTCAGGTTCAATCTTCTGCATCTCCCCCCATACTTCATTTTTACATGACATTTGTTCAATGTACAAAGCATAGTGCTGGGCAGTTACGGAGAAGCAGCGTTACAGAGATAAGTCATGGGCCATGCTCTGGATGGAATTTACAGACTAGTGAGGCATAACAACTAATAATAACAATCATACAAGCATGTATGTGAAAGGCATAGGAAAATTGCTGATGGAAGCAGTCAGCACCCACTCCATGGGTCCCCACTTCTGTGTAAGTGTTGTGGTGCAGTTTCACCAGTTCAGTGTTATCTCCCAGGGGATCTGGGGGCAGGAGAATATACCATTTGCTACATCTCTTTCTTCAGCTGGTAACATACACATCCATCTCTCCAACCCATTAATCAATATTTTAAAGCACCTACATGGGCAAAACACTACCCCAAAGCTTGTAGGGAATAAAGAAAAACAATATGACAGGAAGCCACAAGATCACATAGGCAATGAGACATTCTAAGGAAGATGATTTTTGAACAGAGAAGGTAGAAAAAAACTGCAGTAAACATTCATTGAGTTCTACTCAGTCTTAAGGATAGTGACTGTTTATTGAACAAACTCCTGGGGGAGCGGGTGGAATTTCAAGATTGCCAAAATGAATAAGACAGTCCCTCCTCCTAATGACTTTCTGGATCAATGCATCAGGTGGGAAATGAGTTTGGTCTGTGAAGTGGTAGGATTTAGGGAGAGCACTGGTGCTCAATATACATTTGGTGAATAAACAGCTGAATTCTCTGGCTGCAAAGGTTTCTGGCACAAAGCCAAGAATTCTGGACATTCTGACTGTGAAGGGAATGATGATACTTTCTGATGTAGTACAAGATACACTTATGGTAAAACTGAAGGACTGAAAGGGTAGGTTGGCACCAGATATTGGAGGGCTTCATCCTGTACATTGGGGAGCTCTAAATAAGTCTAGAGAACTGAACAACCTTCCAAGAATGTTTTAGGAAGATTACTCTGGTAGTTTGCAAGACGAACTGATAGCTTTGTGCCTACTCTTTCTTCCTACACATAATTCAGTTTGGAGAAATAAGAATGTAAACTTAGGCTGCTAAGGGAATAAAAAGGTAAATGGATAGCAAACCATTTCATTAGGGAGGAAGAAAGTGACTAAATAGAGGAGTCTGGACAGGAATCAGACTTCCTCTGTGGACATTTTGCCTAAATGGTAATGATGTACTATCAACTGAACAAGGAGAAGATGCTGACATTGAACCGGAAAGAAGATGATTAAATATTGAGGTGAGAAGGTGCTGAGCCCTCTTCCCACATCCAGGAAGTGGGAAGGCAGGCTGGACTGAAGGTGCAATCTCAACCTAGCCCTTTGGCCATAGCCTGTAAAGGCCCTGTTTGGCCAGGCTTGCCATCATCTTGGTGGGAGCCACTAAGGCAGGACCTAGGAATCAGGCAGAGTCAGATGCTCTTAACCATAGGGAAACCCTTTGGAGAAAGAAGCACTCAAAACTTAATGTGAGAGCAGAGCCCCTTGCTCCTTTCTGTATAAATCCCTGGATCCATATTGGGCACAGGGACAAGTGGGGCTCCTCCTGAAGGAAGACTGCCCACTGCAGAGAAGGGTGGAGAAGACTCAAGGGGTCTAAACACCAAGAGGTCACATAAAGACCAAAGGCACCCTGTTCGGGGTAAAGGGAAATGATATTGAGGGCCAACTAAGTACCAGGTGCCACCTTGTGGGCACGTTGATATAGATGATCAGTTGAAACTCACCTTCCAGAGTCCTTATGAGGATGATTATCCTTATATCAGTTATCATAAGGTTGAGCAGCTTGTCCAAAACCTGTTAGTAAAGGCAGGGATGAGATTTGAACCTGGAATGTCCTCTGCATTGCACTAGCACCTCTCAACTGTGTGAAAGGCCTTGAGATTTGTTCTTGTTTCACGCTCAGTGTGAGGAAGTGCCTGAAAGTGCAGCCTTCGATTATAGCACACAGAGTTCACCTTATAGATTGACTGGAACATAACCTTTGCCTAAGATGTCATCGCACCATAAACCCAGACTTGGGGGGCTGGCCTGGTGGCATAATGGTTAAGTTTGCACGCTCCACTTCAGTGGCCCCGGTTTCGCAGGTTCGGATCCCGGGCACGGACCTGTGCACTGCTTATCAAGCCATGCTGTGGCAGGCATCCCACATATAAAAAAAGTAGAGGAAGATGGGCCCAGATGTTAGCCCAGAGCCAATCTTCCTCAGCAAAAAAAAAAAAAAAAAAAAAACCAAACCCAGACCTGGGCAAGCAGTGTTAGTCCTGGGAGAGGGTAATGAGTAATGAAGGAGTCTTACCTTTTCTTAACAGAGTCACCTAGTCCACTTCCAACCTGTCCCTTTCTGAGTGAGGTAACTCACTGGTACATTTCTGATTACCTCTATATCCTGCTCCCTGAAGGGGAACTTGCACCTATAGACCTTGTCACTTTGTACATCTCCCCCTTTCTTCCCGTCTTTCCTGCTTTTGCTCGCTCTGCATGGCCAACACTTAATGAGAAGGGATATCTTCCATCATAAACAACTTCACAGCATCAGACCCAGGTCACCCACACTCCTGGAATTCATCTGAGAGATAGTGGATGTGAGCTGGGAGGTCCTGATCCCCAAGGACAGGAGCCTGGCACAGGCACTGCCCAGTCTCCCACACCTCTGGCTCTCCCTGTTTGCCTGATGGATCCACTGGTGGGCTTTCAGGGCATACTTTCTCTTGAAGCTTTTCCCACTCAGTGCAGGGAAAGGGCCTCCCATCAGAGTGGATGCGCCAGTGGCTGAGCAGGAGGGTGGAGGAGGAGAAGCAGATGGCACACTCTGGGCAGGGGTAAGATTTCTCACCTGTGTGTGTGTGCATCTGTGAATGGCCAAGGGAGCCTCTGGCAGAAGCACCGTCCACAGTCACAGCACCAGTAAGGCTTGTTTCCTGAGTGGATGAGCTGATGCTGGAGCAAGTTTTCCTGGCGAGCAAAGCGAGTGCCACGTTGTAGGCAAGGGTAGTAGTGCTTATGCAAGTGCATGAGCCAGCGGTTGGCCAAGAGGGAGGAGTGTGCAAAGTGGCACCCACAGGCTGTGCACGTATGTCTGCACTTGTGGATATACAGGGCCTCCTCGGGTGGAAGTGGTGGCTGCAGTCGGAACAGGTGTGCCCTGTGTGGAGCAGCTGGTGCTAGGCCAGGTGAGCCCTCTGGGAAAAGTGGACACCACATGACCCACAAACATGGCAACAGTCACCAGAGTGGATCTGCCTGTGTCTGACTAACAGTGAGGGGAAGGCAAAGCACTGCCCACAGTCCAGACGTGCAGAGGGCTTCTCCCTTACTTGAGTGGCCAGTGCACTACTTCTTCAAAAGCAGCAGCCACACTGGGCGCAGGGGAAGGGTGTCTCGCCTGTATGGATGAGCTAATGCTGGAGCAGTTCCTTACGCTGAGAGAGCAGCGCCCATACTGTCACAGGGAAAGGCTGCTCAGCAGAGTAGACCTGCTGGTGGTGGGCCAGGAGGAAGACAACAGCCCAGACATGGGTAGGGCCTCTTTGGAGCCTGAGAGCACTGTTGTCCTGTGGCTGAGGAGCCTTGAGGCAATATCTGGCCACACCCTCTGTAGTTGGGACCCTCAATTACTCCAGGGGGGTCTTGCCACACCTTACTTGGTAGCGTCTCTCTCACACAGGCTGCTTTAAGTTCCTTGACCTCCATTTCTTCCTTCTGTTCTTTTCTTTACTCTCACTTTCTGCAGAGACAAGAGAATTGGAACCAAGGATTGTAGGGTGCTTTGGATCACCGCAGCTATCTTTCTCTGGGAATCAGGCAGTTATATATGGAGATGGAGCAGCATCTGAGACTGGGGGCCTGATCATCCAAGGTATAAAGGTGCAAGTGTGAATCCCTCATCCAGAGATGCCCCACCTGCCTCAGGCACAAGTTTCCCATTTTGAGAAAAAGTTCCATCCCTTCTTCCTCACTCAGGGCCTCCAAAACTGTACAGTATTCTCATAAGGAAGGGCCAAATTCTTTTCAGAGGTAAGCTGACACCTCTCCCTGGTAAGACCTTAAATGTGAGCATTTCGGTGGAAACATTTCTCAAAAAATGGAGACCTCGGTGCCTTTTGAGTACACAAAAACACCTGTTTCCATCCTAATTGGAAGGTGGCAAGTCATTAAATTCTTTATATAGAGGGCTCTAATCAGCTTCAAATGGCAGGATATGCCCTGAGAGACAAAGGGAGGCCAACAAACCTGACTAAGTGAACTTCTGGCCCCTCTCCAAGGCCAGTCAGAAGTATAGCATGCAGATCCTCTAGGCTTAAGTTAATTAAAATTAAAAATTCACTTCCTCAGGCACACTAGCCACATTGCATGTGGCCAGTGGCTTCTATGTTGGAGAGCACAGATATAGAACATTCCCCTAATTGAAGAAAGCTCTATTGGACAGCAATGCTCTAGGTACTCAGCAGAAAGAGAGCAAAAGACCTCAATCCCCAACACAGCTGCCTCACCCAATACCCGCAATCGGGACCAGCAGGAACAGCTACCCTTGAACTCAAGGAAGATTCCAGGTCTGGGAAAGAGAACTTTGGAAGAGAAGGTTCAGAGGATTCTTACCAACTGGGGTCTTTCTTTTTTTTTCTTTTTTTCTTTTTTTTTTTTAGTGAGGAAGATTGGCCTTAAGCTAACATCTGTGCCTGTCTTCCTCTATTTTGTATGTGGGTTGCCACCACAGCATGGCTTGATGAGTGGTGTAGGTCCACACTGGGGATCCAAACCTGCAAACCCAGGCTGGTGAAGCCAAGCGCACTGAGTTAACCACTACGCCACTGGGCCCACCCCACAACTGGGGTCTTTAAAAAGAAGGGTGAGGCCACGGATCACTCCCAAGAGAGGCTGACTTTCAGCCCAGCTCCACTCTCCTCACCTATCCCAGATCCTCGGCACCTCCTCGCCCCCTCCTCCGGATCTTCGAACTCCAGGCTCCACGCCTCCATCTTTCTCTCCGTCCAGGAGATGAGGGCGAGTTTCGGGCCTGCAAATCCTAGGGGAGAAGAGGCCAAGAGCAGACGGTTGAGAGGATGGAGCCTAGAGAAGGTGCTTCTTTTGCAGGTGTGGGGTACAGCCTCCTGAACCCTCCGAGAGAAGACCCTCCCCAACAATAGACACACTCAGGCGCCTCCAAACTGAAGCTGAATGGTTCCCACATCCCAAAAAGGGCGAGGAGGGGTGGGCCGGACGTCTTTGATCGCGCCCAGGTGTCCATGGGTGAGTCGCATCATGTTCCTGTACAGGGTCCTCTGCGCAACACCAGGTCCATCAACTCTTCACCCTCAAGCATAATGGCGCCACTGAGCTTCACACCCTTCTCTCTCCCGTGCACGGTGATTGGGTGACCCGCGGCAGAAAGCAAAGTGCACCTCTTTTGATTGGGTCTCGGCGGATCATTCCAGTTTGAAGGAAGCCGGCTGTAGCGTGCGGCCGGGCTCCTTCCTAGAGCCACAGCGAGCCCGGAGCGCGCACACCTGCTCGGTGCGAGGCGCTGTGCTGGGCGGCACGTGTCAAGGGACAGCGGCGCAGCCCTGCTGCCCAAGAGCCCCCAGCACTGCCCTCCTCCGCGGCCCGGCGCTCGGCCCCACTCTCGTCAGAACCCTGTCCGCCTTGCTCTGGGGCTCCCTGCCTTTTTGTACCCAGACTTGAACGACGTTCAAACATTTATTGAGCTCCAGTTGGGTTGAGCACATGTCCAGGAGCTGGGTATAGAGCAGGGAGCTCAACAGTCTCTAGGCAACGGAAGTTACATTCCTCTCGACAGCCTTCCTGATTCTCAGGTCTCCACTGGGCTTGACCCAAGGTTTAGTCCTCGGGCGCCTGCAGCTGTCCATGTCTGATGTGACGGAACATGACGTCTCCAAACATAACGCTAGGGACGGGAAAGAGGCGGCTCTAAGGGTACCTGCTCTCAGTGGTGCTTACAACCTAGTGAGGGAGACACACAAATGTACAAGGTCTGGCTGCCTAAGCCACAGTGGTAGCACTGCAGAGTCCAGGGAATTATGAGACAGTCGCTCATCTCTGAGTTGAGCACAGAAGATGATAAGCATTGTGAATCAGTTATGAAAATTTAAAAAGGCAATAATAGCTTCTAATTCAAACATGGAAAAGAGCTAGAAAAATGACATTAAAAGCAGTTGTTTTCACAGGGATGATTAGGTAAGGCTGTCCTCAGTATTCAAAAAACTGTGCAAAGCTTGGAGGATATACACTGTGAAAAGTATTGTACTAGACAGTTTTGGCTAAGTATATATTATTTAATCCTCACAACCACCTTGGGGGTAGTATTTTTGTACTTATTTTATAGTCAGAGAGATGTTGATGGTACAAGGGAGGAGCCAAGATTGAACATGAGACAAACTGGTTCAAAACCTATAATCCTCTTACAAAACCTCTTACATTATGGCCCCTGGTCCAAGCTGGGTGACTGGATCAGAGATTTGTTCCCCTGAGATCTAGAGTTAGGGGGAAACCAGGAGCCGAAAGGTCAGCAGAGGACTGGAGCAGTCTCATGGTTTCTCTGGCAGATTCTTCAGTCTGGGTGTCCTCCCTCTCAGCTCTATTCTCTGCTCCCAGGTCTCTGATAGACTCCAGATGTGGCTCAGCTCCCGCCATCTCCTTTTCGATTGATTCCCTTTTTCTCCCCTCTCCTGTCCCTTGCCCTCTCTGCACCTCCTTCCCATACCGATGAGGGAGAATCTTAAAACGTTAGTTCCTTCACACTGCTTAACTCAGACACTCACACTACTGGAACATATCTGGAAAATGCCGGAAGTGTACTGAGGGTTTTTGGGCCTCAGGCACAGAAACCTGTGCTGGGGGTTGTGACAGAGGTCTGTCATCCCTCCGACTTGTCCTGCCTGTACAATGGATCCATTGATGGGCTTCCAGGGCGCTCTTTCACTTAAAGGTTTTCCCACACTGGGGACAAGGGAAGGGCCTCTCAGCAGAATGGATGCGCCTGTGGCTGTTGAGGACACAGGAAGAGGTAAATCGGTGCCCACACTCAGGGCAGGAGTAGGGCTTCTCCCCTGTATGTGTGCGCCTGTGGATGGCCAGGGAGCCACTTTGCCGGAAGCAGCAGCCACAATCAGGGCACTCATAGGGCTTTTCGCCTGTGTGAATGAGTTGATGCTGGAGCAGGTTATTTTGCTGAGCAAAGCGGGCACTGCAGTGGGCACAAGGGTAGGGGCGCTCATCAGAGTGGACCCGCTGGTGGTTGGTCAGGAGGGAGGGGTAGGCAAAGCCCCGACCACAGTCAGAACAGATATGGGGCTTCTTCCTAGTGTGGGTGCGCTGGTGGATCGCCAAGAGGGAAGGGTGTGTAAAGTAGTGCCCACACTCAGTACACAGGTATGGCTTCTCCCCACCATGTCTGTGTCTGTGGATGGCCAGTGCCCCAGTCTGGCGGAAGCAGCGGCCACAATCTGGACATGAATAGGGCTTGTCCCCTCTATGGAGCAGCTGGTGCTGGACTAGGTGAGCCCTCTGGGAGAACTGAACCCCAGAAGGCCCACAGACACATGGACGATCTCCAGAGTGGATTCGCCGATGTCTGACTAGCATCAAGGCGTAGGCAAAGAGCCTTCCACAGTCTGGGCAAGAGAAGGGCTTCTCCCCTGTGTGTGTACGCATATGGATGACTAGATTGCCTCTTTGACGGAAGCAACGTCCACACTGGTCACAGGGAAAGGGCCGCTCCCCAGAGTGGAGTCGCTGGTGGCTAGCTAGGAGGGAGGGGTAGCTGAAGGAACGGCTACAGTCCAGGCATGAGTAGGGCCTCTTGGGAGTCTGAGTGCACTGGTCCTGTGTATGTGGGCACCTGAGGCAATGCGTGGGTGGCCACAGTCCCTGAAGCAAGGGACCAGCCTGGCCTTCACTGATGGCCCGTTCCTCACAGGGGCATCCTCCAGCTCCTTGGCCCCTATTTTGTTGTTCAGTTCATTCTTTTTCTTGCTTTCTAAAGAGACAAGAAAATTGAAACTGAAGACTCAGGTGCTTGCATCACCATACCTATGCTTTCTCTCAGAACGGTAGATGTATGTGAAGGGAGTGGCAGTCTCTGCTTTTCTGGTGTAGTCCCTTGTTTCAGAACCCACAGTCGCATCGAAGGCAGCTGTTCCCCATTCTATGGGCAGATGCTATGTTTTTTTCCCCATCTAGGGCTTGGAAAACTGTAGTTTTGTCAGAAGGTGACGGATAGTACAGCTTGTCAGAAATAAGCAATCACCTGGCATGTTAAAGCCCTTAAATGTGGGCATTTCAGTAGGGACAGAGATTTCCCAAGGCACTGGAACCAACAGCAGGTCAGTGTATATAAAAACAGCAGTCACCACCTGGGCCAACAGTCTCAACTTCACTAAGTGAACTTCTGGCCCGTTTCTGAGGCATGCAGACCCTCTGGGCACACATAAAAGGAAGGCTTAACAAATCCTATCCCCAACTTCTCTTCCCTCCTGCCTAGCTATCCTTGACCCAAGGAAGCCACCAAGTCTGATAAAGGAGACTTTGGAAGAGAAGGTTCAGAGGACTCTTACCAACAGGGGCCTGTGGGCAAGGATGTGTGTGGGGAAGGGCTGCTGGGAAAAAGGGCCGGCCCGTATCACTCCTAAGAGAGGCTGACTTCCAGCTCAGCTCCACTTTCCTCACCTATCGCTGATCCTGGGCGCCTCCTCGCCCTCTCCTCGGGATTCTCGGCCTCTGGGCTCCACGCCTCCTTCTTTCTCTCCATCCAGGAGATGAGGGCGGGTTTGGGGCCTGCAAATCCTAGGGGAGAAGAGGCCAAGAGCGGACGGGGTGAGAGAATGGAGCCTAGAGAAGGTGCTTCCTCTGCAGGGGTGGGATACAGCCTCCTGAACCCTAAGAGAGAAGACCCTCCCCAACAATAGACACTCTTAGGCGCGTCCCAGCCGAAGCCTACGGGTCCCCATCCTCAAAAAGGGGTTGAAGGAGACCGCCGGGCCTCACCGAACACGGCCAGATGGCCGTAGGTGTCCCGCATCACGTCCCAGTACAGGGCCCTCTGCGCGGGCCGCAGACACCCCCACTCCTCCGGGGAGAAGTACACGGCCACGTCCGCGAAGCTCACGGCGCCCGGCCTCCTTCGCCCCGGCAAGGCCTCCCCTTGCCTGCCGGCGGGGAGAGGGTCCGGAGGCGGCGCCATGAGTCCGGCGCTTTTCCCCTGGTTCGCCTCGGGGCGCCGGCGGGCCCGGGATCATGGACGCAGCGGGACCGAACCCGGCCGGTCCTTGGACTCAGAGCGCCGCTGAGGAGGCTCCAAGTGCGCCGGGACCAGCCTCTCTTGCGGCCATGAAAACGCTCCGATGTTATTCTTACGGGTCCTGCATGGATCTAGGTTAGAGCACAGGAAAGTGCCTTCGGGTGCTGTGGAGGCGCCGGAGACGCTCACCCACCGCTCGGCGGCGCCCGGGCCATCAACTCTTCAGCCTCAAGCATAACGGCGCCACTGAGCTTCACGCCCTTCTCCCTCCCGTGCACGGTGATTGGGTGACCCGCGGCAGAAAGCAAAGCGCACCTCTTGTGATTGGGTCTCGGAGGATCATTCCAGCTTGAAGGAAGCCGGCTGTAGCGTGCGGCCAGGCTCCTTCCTAGAGCCACAGCGAGCCCGGAGCGCGCACACCTGCTCGGTGCGAGGCGCTGTGCTGGGCGGCACGTGTCAAGGGACAGCGGCGCA